CACCCTCTTTTTTTCTCTTTTCATATCTTTCATGAACCCATGAAGCTCTCTCATCTCTCATCTTCGACCTCACTCACCTCCCCCCCGCCCCCCCTGTATCGTCTCTTCTTTACTTTTTCATTATTTTCTTTTCTCTCCATTCGTTTTTTTTCCTTCTCATTTTTTCTGTGAACCCATAAACATTTCTCATCTTCTGCTCTCTCATCTCTTTCCTTCTTACTTTTCTCATCCTGCTCCACCACCGTCTTTTTTCCCATCATTGCTTCTCTTTTAATGTTGTCACCTCTCCACTGCGTCCCCTCCTCCTCCTTCACCTTCTCCCTCTCTTTCTTCTTATCCTTCGTCTATCATCCTCTTCTATCGGCACCTCTCCTCCTTCTATCCGCCTCTCCTTCTCCTCTCTTGTCTCTCCTTTTTCTTCTTTGACGTCTATCCTTCCTTCCCTTTGTCCCTTGTATTTTCTTCGTTGCCTCTCCTCCCCCTCCTCTGCCAGCTCTCTTCTACTTCTTCATTGTCTATATTGGATAATAAACTTGAAGTATCTGCCTATGCACAAAGAGAAAATTGGAGGGGACCTTTCATTGGGTGATACTTTATCAAATTAAAGAGTATTTTGTGTTTAATACCTTGAGTCTAGAGTCATCTTCTAAATAGTATAAATACTTATGTAACGCAACAACTTATGAACGAGTATAAATATCTATGAAATGCAACAACTTATGAACAAGTATAAATATTATGTAATGCAACATCTTATCCTCATCTCACTTATGAACGAATATGAAATTTTGTAGCATTAGTTTGCAGGAAATAACAAAGGTAACATTTTAATCTATGCATGTAATAATATTATGAACATAGGTAACCATTTTATGAAATGGATTAACAAGTTTTATTAATGAAGTAACTTGTTTATGAACAAATATAATAATTTATGAATGAAAATAATATTTGAAAATGTAGACTAGGCAAACGAAAAAGTAACAGTTTAATCAATGTTGATAATATTTTTATTAAAAAAGTAACAGTTTAAAAAACAAAGGTAGCATATTGTCTACAATAAATTACATTTTAATAATATATTATGTCTAACAAATAACAGTTTTATAAAAAAAATAAACAATTTCATAGCTCAGATTTGAGAAATGTGAAATGTAACAATTTAATAAACAAATGCAACAGTTTTATGAACAAAGACAATATTGTTTGAAAAAAAACATAAAAGATAACAACTCTCTTTTTTTTTCTTCTCCTTTCTCAACCACTACCGCTCCTCCTCACTGTCTATCTCTCTTCCTTTATCCTCTCGTCGCCTCCCTTAATAGTTTTATGAATAAAATTGTTAAAAATAACAACTTTATTTTTTCTATTTAACCACTTATCGTTTGCCGTAGATCATGCACATAAAATGTCTTTTTATTTTTATTTTTTATTTTTATCAAATCAGGTTAAAGTATTAATCTTGATATGATTAGTTCATGAAATAAAATAGTGAAGTGAAGGAAAGATCGGAGGAGGAGAGACAGTAGAGAGAAAAGAGAGACTAGAGGAGAGTAGGAAAAGATGGGAAGGAGAAGCAAAGGTCGAGACAGAGGATGATAAACAACTAAGAAGAAGAAAGATGTGGAGGAAAAGGAGGAGGAGGAGGAGGAGGAGGAGCGGCGATGATATTGAGAGGCAACTACGAAGGTGAAGGCGGCAGTGGAGGAGGACAAGAGAAGATAGAGATGAGAAGAGAGATGAGAGAGGTTGAAGGTGAGAGTGGGAGGGAGATCAGAGAGGTTAAAATGAGAGGGGCAAGGAGAGATGAGAGAGTTTGAAGATGAGAGGAGAGGAGAGAGTGAGAGAGGTTGAAGATGAGATGAGAGTTTCATGGGTTCATGGAAATGAGAAGGAAAAAAAAGAGGGGGAAAAGGAGGGAAAAGAATGAAGGAGAGGATATTTTTGAAATACTTAAAAAAATTGCATAGGTTAAGGGGTCTTTTGAAAGCTTTCTTCAGTCAGTCAAAGGTTTTTTTAGTTAGTCCAAAAAGGTGTGTTTCTTGATTGGATTCTTAAAAGTAAGGCTCCCAATACAATTTTCCCTAAAATTTTTTGGCATGCAGATTTATGTCAAGATAATTCTATGTTATAGCAATAAAATTTTATGTCAATCAAGTCTGATATCTGTTTCAAACAAATAGGAAAAAATCATTATATGTTTATGTATCCAAGTTACTAGTTACCATTAGTAAAATATAAATGCATACATATATGTACATGCATGCACACAGATGCACACAGACAAACAATTAGTTTATTGGTCGTAGAGAAGTACGTTTGATGGACTGCTAGAGAAGAGTGGAGAAGCTCGTGCAATTAATTGGAGAGAAAATGTATCGACATATATCTATTCCAGTATCAGTCACTATTTCATCACTCTCAATTTCCCTCTCACATTGCCCCAGTATGACTGTTTCTTATTTACATTGCTACGTCTAGGACTATAGTTTGTCAGCAACGAGCTCGCTCTTCTCTACTGTTATTTGCACAACTCAAAACCAGATGGCGCCAAAACTGCAGTTAAACAAAGAATCAGTAAAAATGGGTAAGAAATTCCTCCGTCTACTGCCTACTTGCCTCATCATTGATAATCTTTTAGATTTGCCCATTACCATTGTTTATAAATCTTCAGGCAGTGTAACGTCTCAAATTCTTGTCTCCTCTAGAGAAGAGGCTGCTAATTTTGTTCGCAAAGCTTTGAGGCGAAAAGTTATGGTCTCAAGTACAAGGCAGGCAGTGTCTGGGTTTCTCGCTGCTGGTGGAGCTACTGCTGCTCGATATGTTGCGAGGAAGATATCAAAAGCCTGGAAATCTAGAACATCATGAGATAGAAACCTTTTTCTTGTAGTATATACTTGTGCTGTTATCAATTTTGGTCGAGATGCAGAATAATGTCGACAAATCATAGATTGTGATCTATATGTAATGTACTAAAATTGTTTGATGGCAGTAGTTTATGTAGGCTTTAGGAGGATTTGTGATACCTTCCTCAAATTGACAGTTGGCATTGAGAACCCTTGTGTTTCTTCTGCATATTATTATTGTATGGTGCCATAATAACAAATTAAAGTTCAGATGAATCATGATCGCAATCAGTAAAAAAGAACTTATTTATATATTTGAGTCTTATAATTATATTCCTAGAATATAAAATTATTAATTTTCGACTCTCATCTCATTTTCCACCCCAACTTCGGTGTTTGGCAGTGGAAGTGACTTTGAATGTGATATTAGAGTAATTCACATTTAAATCGTAAGGGACTATAAAGTCTAGTCTAGTTATCAATGTGTGAAAATTATGATCATACTACAGGAGTACGTTAACATTAGGGGGTTATTGGTTAGGACAAATTAGGGGCAAGTGGAAAAATTGTTCCAATGGAACAATTTTATCCCTCTGGGATATTTTGAGTGGGGGTAAAGTGGGATAAATGGGATAATGAGACAATTTGAGCCTTTAATTTGACAATTCATATGGGATAATTGATGATGTGACACCTTATTAAAATATAATTAACTTATCTAATTGGTTTAGTATATTATTTAGTATATTATATACTATAAACATTATTTTACTTTAAATTAGAATATAATATGTTGTACTATAATTAATATTACATGATAATTACAATAATATATATTAAAAAGTATCATGTTATAGTATAATATATTATATTATTTCAAACTATAGTATTATATTATATTATATCATAATATTTTATTAATATTAGTAATTATTATATTATATTATAATAGTATGTCATATATATAATAACTGATATAATATATAAACAATGTATTTAATATAATATCTAATTTAATATATTAGAACAGAGTCATAGGTTAAAATTTACCGCATAAAATATTATAATATTTTTTATTCAATATAATATTATTTAAAATACTATATTGTAATTAAAATATAGTATAATATTATATGATAATTACTATGATATATAAAAAATATCTAAAATGTATTATATTATAGTACAATAATATATTTATTATATGAATATAATATAATATAATATAATCACATAACATGATTTATATTATATTATATTTATAATTAAATGTAATATACTAACATATTTATTAATTTTAATATGTTATATTATATTATACTATATTATTATATTGGTTTAATATAATACACTATAATATAATTTCTACAATAAAATATCAGTTAATATAATATATTATATAATAATATATGTTATTAGGATATTATATAATATTATAATAAATATGTTATACTATTAATATAATATAGTATGTGATATTGCATAATAATATATAATAAATATCATAAAATAAATTATACATATAAATTAAATTATAATAATTTTTTTATTTTATTACATGATAATAAAATATAATATATTGAATATATTATTACTTTATATTTTATAAATCATGTCATATATTTATAATATAATTAGAATGTATTAGTTAAGTAATACAAAAATGTTTGAAAATTATCCCAATTGCCTTCAAAGTGGAACAAAATTGTTCAAATACGGAGGATAAGGTAAATTTTTACTACTGGGACAAATTTTTTGTATAGGGGTAATTTTATCCTAAGTGATGAAATTATCTCACTAGTGTTCTAAATAATCAATAACATAAAAAGATAATATCCTTGTTCCATTGTCCTAATGAATAACACTATGAAAATAGAATCATCAAAATTATACCATTACCCCCAAATGTCCCGATAAATAACGTCCCCTTAAATTTTTTTGGGGGCTAGATCTCGACAAATAACCATGATACTCAAGTAACATAAAAGCGCTCTCGGATGATAAGCTGGGCCTCTTCTATGCAGGCCCAACGACAGCCCAACATAATTTGCTTTTGACTAGTACGCCTGCTCTGTGCTCTAGAGCAACTTACGTGCGCGCATGTCCGAGTACGCGACGGTAGTTGATATAAAAGGACACGATCGTCCCGCGAACGACGTGAACGCCTCTGTTTCCCCAAGGGCCGTTCCTCTCCCTTAATTAGAAGAGGGATCAAATTTTCAGCACGATCAAAAATAAAAATAGATTAGGGTTTTGTAATCTCTCCTGCATTTCCCCTAACTTCACAATTTTTTTTTTTTGCGGGAAAATTTGAGGACTGCGATCGGGATCAGGGTTCGGCTCCTCTCCCAGCTGATCTCTTCACTGTAAGTTTCTTCATCCCATTGTTTGGCAAAGATCGGTCTTTTATCTCATTATATAGGGAATTGGGTAGAAACCCCTTTGAATGTGTGTAATTGATTGTTTCCTTCGTGATGTAGAAACGTTTTTTGTTCGGTAAAATTGCCTTATGTTTGCAATGCGAGGGTGGTTTTTTTCATTAAATCTTCACGATCCGATATTTGCATTTAGATTTGTTGGTATATTTGTGAGGGGGCCATTTGGGAAGTGGCGTAAACAACAAAGAACATCTGTTGTTTTTATATCGAGTCTCTCTCATTGGTGTAGTTAACTTTCTTCAGTGAGTTAGAGAACAATTCAAGTGTCCAGTGTCTTTTTTGTTCGTCACCGGCGATCCTCAACATGTGGTGCTGCTGCTGCGACACAGAAGAGGATACTCATGGACCTCCAGCTAGGGAGAACCCTGCTCCCATTAACCACAACACTCCTGGTGAGATGCTAAACATTTAATTTACAAATTTTGGTTGATTTCATTGTTTTGTATCGTTTTCCCTCTTTTGTGATTCAGTTGCTTGTTTGGTTCCATACTCTCAATTGCTGTCTATGTGTATGATGATCATCAATTGAAATATAGTTAAGGCGTTTGGATGCATTGAAGTTGCAAGATTTGGGTTTATCTACTGTTTCGGTCATCATTTTTTAAAGCAATTCAGCTCAGTTTGGTCCTTTATGGTTCTTTTAATTTGGAAAGCAAGGGTGGGCTCAACCCTTTCCTGAGGAAGTTTCCCCCCCCATCAAAAGCATGCTCGTGCAAAACATTGCACATATCTAACCACCAAACTGCATATAAAACATCATAAGCCGCCAGAATGACCAAACTAGCATTAGAAACAACATTTACACATTGAGCACATTAACCTTGGTATCCCCCTCTGTTGAACTATACATACTATCATGAGATTCCAAAGTGAATGCTAGCATGAAATTCATCTTCTTCCAATTTTTGCCTTAGATATTAACAAAATGTTCATAGACAAATCTCTTGCCTTTTGTCTAGACTCTTTTCTCGGTATGATTTTCATGCATGCTAGACTCTTCTATGTTGAGAGCCTAAATAGAATGGCTGGGTAGTCAGGAAGTTTTGGCTTCTCTAGGTCATGAATTGTCTCCGTCAGGCTGAAAGAAAATTTGTACAAGTAGAGTCGGTCTTTCTATGGAGAATTCTTCGAACTGACCCATGTTCTTCTCCTTCTCCGTTTTGACTTTAAGAATTGTATGATGATAATGTTATAGTCACCGTTTTGCTTGATTACATTTTTCAAAAGGATGATATCAAGTTATTTCCCACTTATTTACTTATTTACTGTTAGTAGTATTATTTACTGTTAGTAGTATTATTTTAAGTACCGAATGTCAATGTGTACTTCGAGTAACATATGCGCAACAACAGACACCTGGAACGGGTAAAAGTTTGCATTCTTTAGTCCTGCTTGGCAGAATGTTAGTAGCTCAATGCAGTATAATGATTTCATCTCTTTGCAGTTGAGTCAAATGCTTGCTGCTTATATATTATAAGTGTCCACCTACAGAAAGAAGTAAATGTCCTATTTTCTGCAGCCTGGATCTCAGAACAGATATAATGCACTAATGCTTTCCATTATCATCTCTTGGAAGTTAATAATGTTATCGAATGTTTGAGAACATTCTAATAGTGTATGTCCGCTACCTTATATCTATGTTACTTTTCTTATATAAGATACAGAACTTTGTTCTCCTAAAAAATTAAAAAAAGGTACTCTTAGCTATCTAACATATTGTCGGTAAGTCATTTACCTAAGTCTGAAGTGCTGTCTCATACCCTCCCTTAAATCGTACTGAAATATCGGCATCCATTTTTTTAAACTTATTTTAGAAGCTCTGTGGATATCATTATGAATGGCCGGTATACTGCTTTATGTTTCCTTTCTAGATAAAGAAGAAACATAACAGGCAAAATCTAGATTCGGGAATTCCAACCTCTTCGTGTTGCTGCTTTATTTGGAATGACCTTGACACCACAGAACTTAACCTGGTGTATGGAAAATTGTGATGCCGTTCTGTTGAGACTGATGCTACAGGTTGGTCTAGGTCTACAAAATAACATTCTCCTCAAGGAGGAAGATTCTAATTAATCATTATGGGTAATTTTTAATATTTTGTATGATTTCTTCTACTTAATCATTATGGCTAATTTTTAATATTTTGTATGATTTCCACAGTTAATATGTACAATTGGGTAAGAGAAACTAGGCCATTTCTATTGGGATTCTGAGGTTAGAGGCCCCTTGTGGTAATTTACGGTCTAATAAGAAAGAGATCTACGTAAATCTAACAAAAAATAGTTATTAACCGAGTTATCATTCTTCTCCAAGAATGTGGACTATCCTGTGTGTCCTGTTCTGTGAATTAAACCTAACAGTTAGAGAAAGTGAGAAGCAACAACAACAAAGCTTTTATCCCAAATGGTTAGGGTCAGCTACATGAATCCTATTCTTCCATTTTGTTCTATCATGGGTTGTTTCTGTTAAATTAACAATTATCATATCCAGAAAGTGAATAGCAAACGTGAAGAAATTAAAGTCTAAAAGAAAAGCAGAATAAGATGCCACGTCGGTCCATAACGAGAGGAGCAATAAGGAATTTTTAGCTTGAGGGGACTTGGATCAACTGAGGAGTATTTATGAAACCTATCTGATTGTATCTCCTATGGCATATGGATTTTTGTGTTACAACATAATAATGTTGTTTGCTTCCCCATAGTCCCATACATTTAATGCAAACTACTTCGAGTATTTCTTTGTGCAATTAGACTTTACTTCATAGTTTTCAAAATCTTCTTTGCAACTTAAGTTGTTCGTAATTGTTCTGTTTTGAAAAAGAGAACTTAACACTAAAAGACATGAAAAATAAAGAAGTAATTTTTCGAACATTTATACTTTTTTCTTTGATCTGAAATAACAGTGCACCATAACCTGAAAATAGTTTCTTATTTATTAATTTATCCTTCTCTGTTTCTTCACTCTCAAATTGGTTGATAAAAGTTTGCAAGCTATTAAATTTAGTAGAGTAGCTTTTAACTTATTTCTTAGTTCTAAATCACACTAATTTTTTCTAATTTAGGTCAGGATAGGGACCGAAGAGAGCCTACTGCTCCAAAGAGTGGAGCTGCTAAGAAGGCTTTGCCAATTGATCTCCCAGCTTTTTCCTTAGCTGACCTGAACCGGTTGACCAGCAACTTTGGCGAGAAGGCTCTAGTTGGTGAAGGATCATTTGGACGAGTCTTTTATGCACTTCTACCAAAGAAACTAGACCCAAATGCCTCTCAAGAACATGACTCTGATTTCCTAACTCAGGTAACTCATCTCTCCAACAACTTTTCAATGAATTATATTTGCACCTCATTCTGATTGCACTCTTTTATTCTGGGTCATGATTTATTCTAGCTATCAATGGTTTCAAGACTTAACCATGATTACTTTGTCCGGTTGCTGGGTTATTGCTTGGAGGAGAATAATAGGATTTTGGTATATGAATTTGCAACAAGAGGGTCACTACACGACATTCTACATGGTACATTGTGTGTACTCACATGAATTTATTCCTAATCTTGATTCACATGTAGATCTAATTTTGTTATTCTTCCTTTTGAATAGGGAAGAAAGGGGTACAAGGTGCTGAGCCTGGTCCTGTATTGAGTTGGAACCAGCGTGTAAAGATTGCTTATGGTGCTGCGAGAGGTCTTGAGTTTCTTCATGAGAAAGTGCAGCCTTCTATAGTCCATCGGGATGTGAGATCAAGCAATGTCCTCGTGTTTGAGGATTTTAACTCAAAGATCGCTGATTTTAATTTGACCAACCAGTCTCCTGATACTGCAGCTCGCTTGCACTCGACTCGAGTTTTAGGAACATTTGGTTATCATGCTCCAGAGTAAGCTTACTAATACTTTTATTTTGGCATTATTTTTTCAGTATATTTTCTTCTNGTAAGCTTTCACTAGAAAATGATAGTGGGTGTCTTTGTTGTAGCTTACTTTTTGTTCATGGCTCCATTTTTATTTGGTTTTCATATTTAGTTTCCTTAACAAATGATATTATGCCCCAGATATAACTTACTATATTTGTATCATTGTATATAGCTTTAACTTACATTATAATTCGGTGGTATGGTAATTCCTAAATTCTCTTTATCAAAGAAAGAATGAATTCTACCAAAAAAAGGAACTACAGTGATGAGTTGTACAATGCCATATGGATCACAACTGCTAAATTTTGCATGCAAATCGATAACACGCTATTTCTTATCCTCTGCTTTATAATTGTTCTCTAGGTATGCAATGACAGGACAGTTGACTCAGAAGAGTGATGTCTATAGCTATGGGGTTGTTCTTCTAGAGCTCTTAACAGGTAGAAAACCTGTAGATCATACCATGCCAAAAGGACAGCAAAGTCTTGTTACTTGGGTAGGTTTTTTTCCTTCCTATTATAACTTATGCATGTATTTTCTCAACAAAATGAAAAATAAAAGTAAAAAAGAAAACTGCATGTATTGTTGCTTTATTTTGTGTACCTAACTCAGATTGTGCTGTCATCAGGCAACACCAAGGTTAAGTGAAGACAAAGTTAGACAATGTGTTGACCCCAAGCTAAACAATGAATACCCACCGAAAGGAGTTGCTAAGGTTAGGTTTCTCTTTACTTAACCATTTCACTTTCACGTTGCAATGATTTTATTTCAAATGGTTTGCTTCATTGTATCTTCCCTTTTTGGAGGTAATTGTGCATTTATTTCTTCGCTGATAAAAGGATATCACATAATTATAACTCAGTAAAACAATCTGAAATTAAGAATTTTAGAAATCATGTTTCAAAAAAAAATTTATTCTAGATTGTTCGGGCCACTATAGGCAGCCTGAACGTCTTTTAGGATATCATGCCTTAAAGTAAGAGAAATCATAACGAGGCATTATACAATTTTTTGAGGGAAGAGTGATGTATAATAGAGTAGGCTAATCTTCTTAGCGAATGACTAAATGGAAACCTACATTGATAATCCTACAATTTATGCATTGCCAGCAAATATGCTGTTAAATTTTTTGTCCATACATTATTAACTTACAAATGAATATTTAGAATCAAAGATAAATAATTTTCAGTGAGGTGTTGAAGATGAATAACAGATAAGACTTCTCTTAGGAAATATGTAAGCCTCTAAGCTTTTATGTTAGATGTTATTAATTGCGCAAAGCCATCCTGATGCTGGTGTGAATGTGAATAAAATCCCTGGAATCTTGCCCTACTAAAAAAAGAAAAGATAAAATAATTAACGTGATATAGATAATTATAGGTATGCAATGGGACCAAATTTTGTGTTTCATGTTCACCTCATTCACAACCATCGAAAAAAAGTAATACATTTGTCCATTTATCAAGAGGGAGACTATGCATCTGCATCTTAACTCAAGCGAGAGGCTACACATGCAGTTTTAACTTCTCTCCCAAGTTTTGCTTTCATCTCATCTATGCAGGTACCATGGTTATGCAGTATATTCTTCTTCTTTTGTCTTTTTTTTCAAAGCATGTCATCAATCATCAATAGGAAGGGAAATTTGTATGCACTCATTTTTTTCACTGTCCATGAAAAAATGGTAATTGTCAAATTAGGTCTAATGGGGGCAAAATGTTGCTCTGATTATCAATTTTTCTTGTGCTTGAAATGCTTCAGATGGCAGCGGTTGCAGCACTCTGTGTTCAGTATGAATCTGACTTCCGACCAAATATGACGATCGTTGCGAAGGCCCTTCAACCACTTCTCCAGAGAGTACAGGAAGCTAATCATTCCTAATAATTTTGGCGGAGAAACACTAGAATCTGTAGTTGATGTTTCACTGTACGTACCTGAAGAGATTGAACATCATAGCTAACACTGTAAAAAAAAATTACATGTTTTCGCTGAGTTTACTAAAATCAGTGTGCTGTTTGCGTTGTCAACCTGGAGCATCGTGTATTGAGATTAGAACATTTGGTTTTGGATTTTATGTAAAATTGTTGGTGAAGATCATCATTTGAGAACTTATTTTTCGGTGCTGTAGATTTGTCTATTCATTTTACTGAAAGAAAAACCATAAATAATATCCAATTTGTTATCCGGGGGCTGAATTTTGAAATTCGAAATTGGATCACCTTTAGTTTACTATAGAACACAAACTTTGAAAATTTGCAACAGTGAAGTGCATCCTTATGGACTGCAAAGAGCCATGCCCTGAAACCAAATAAACCTTTTTGTTTTTTGTGCGGATAAAAACCTATTGTATTACTGAAGAAATCATGGACTTATTGGCGCTCGAATGCAATCCCCATTAGCAGAAAAACAAAACAAAACAAATGGGATAGTACGGTCCTTGTAAAGAGCACAATGAGCATGTTTTCAACTCAAAGAGCTAAGAATCATACTGAAAAACATGTCAAGTTGAGTGCTTCATGCTTAGTGGAGCTGTGACTTGATCATCTACCATTGCATAAAAGCAGAAAACCATGTACATATTTCTAATTAACTATTATCTCTTGGTATTCTCATATTTGTAAATCCATTATTAATTCTTTTCTATCAATAAAGTCTGGGCCCTGTCCTTTTCTAAAAAAATACAAAAAATTGTGCTTAGCTAATAGCATAAAGAGGATATCTGCAAGCGTATTCAAATGGTATTTTCTTATTTGAAAATAGAGGAAGAAATTTCTATAATTAACTCTAATAAACAAGAAAGTGAGCCATATCAACATGTTGAACACTATATATTTTAGCATAAAATGCGTTTGCTGCGTATATTTGACAGTTTCAATGTATAAGTATTAATGGGATCACGTTACATGCGCTCCGTGTAAGCATTTTTCATCACTTCTCTTCCTATAATATAATTGTTACTTGTTTGTTAAGTTCACTTTGTTGAATTATTTTTTTTGTTTTTGTGCATTTCTAACTGCCAGAACTTTTATGGATCCTTTCCGTGAAGTTTATTGGGAAAATGATTCATTAGGATTTTAATTTGGTTGCTAGCTCATAATAGTATTTTTGATGATAGAAAAATGATAAGAAATTAAGTTGATGCATTTTACTCAATTGAAGGAATTTCCTCACATCTATTATATAATTTTCATTTACTTCATTTGCCTAGTTAACTTTTCATCATAGCGTTGAACCTGAAGTTTTTTATAACCCAATTTTATTTTCGATCATTAAGCAATCGTCATACTGATGCTTTCAGATATTAAAATGTTAGTTACAGGCATTTGGTTTAGAATAAATAATAGATTTAAGTCTAACTGGCGACTTTCTTGATTATATTCTGTATGAATTTGTACACAACTAATCCTCCGTTGTCTTAAATAAAAAAAGAAGATAAATACAAAGAATTAAATAAAAAATACTCACGAAGAAGCACACGTCATAAATAAACAAGGTCAAGGAGAACCCAATTTAGTTAAGTATTAAACTCGTCATAAACAAATCCAAAAGAAGAAGTCAAATTGAAAAAAAAAACCCAATTAATTATCGGAATCAATCAGCGGTCCCATAAACAAAAACAAACAAAAGAAATATCAATGAATGCAACTGAGGCGAAACATAGACAACACCAAATTGTCTTTGTATCTATAAGAATATTCACTCTCTCCCTCTCTCTCCAAATTTCTATCCTCTTGTCTTTAATCCTTTTAATTTCCTTGTCTTTCTGTTTTTATTTTATTTTGTGTTATTATTGAGAGAGAGAGAGAGATGGAAGGTGAAGGAGAGATACGGTCGCCGTTGATTCGAAGGCAGAGGAAAAATTCGGTTAATTCGCTCCGGACGGAATTCGTGACGAATCTTCCGGATAAAATTCGGGGCGGCATCGACCCTGAGAAGCCTTTCGACATCGATCTCTCAAAAACTCGTGGCCTTATCCAAGGTAGGTTTTTGCTTTAAACTTCGCGCTCCTTACTGAAAAAGTTTGAATCTTGTTGTAGGATTTTATTTTATTTTATTTTTCTTTTACTGATTCCCGCTAATGTTGCTTAAAATTTACACTGTTTTATTTATGTAGGACATATGGGTTTTTATGTAACCACTGAAAACAAGTACATTTAAGTATTAATGAGATGCGTTAAGTGCCAAGGTTGTGGTAAATTTTGGGTGAATACACCCTGACGAGCATCATCAAAAACATGAACAAACATGCACAAGTTGAGGGGGGATGTTTACGATTCGCACCCTCTCCAATTAGTTGATAATTGGAGAGGGTACAATTTTTTCAATTTTTACCATCCATCTCAATTTCAATGGATAGGAGCACGCCACCTTAGATTTCCACTATCACAAAGAGTGGTAATAATAGAAACCATCTAAACTCATGAAGTGCTCCAAAATTGTGTTTTATTTGTCTGGGCAAAAACATCAAGATGACAATATTTTGTTTGGATTAATGACCTTGCAAATGAGCATGTTGTTGGTGGAGGTTTGGACCGGATAACTTTTCAGTCCTCGATTTCAGTTTTATGTTTTCTAGCCTGTATTTAAGCTTGTATTTTATACATCGGAACGTAGAAGATTGAAGGATTTTTTGCGTTTTTCCCAAAAAAAAAAATATGTTACGCACTCCTAAATTAACTTGTGACTATGAGTGTGAATGATCTTCTAATTTTCCTGCAACTAGTTGAATATGTGACATGAGATTTATCAATTTATTATTATGAAATTACGTTTTAAACCTAAAATATTATTTACATACTAACTGTCATTATAATTTATTTAGTTTTACTTTCAACAATATGTGCTAATCCTTAATAGTTGTCTCTTTTTATATTCAGACACCCATCATATCCATGCACTGTTTAGATCTAAAGAAATCTGTGTCAGTATCAAAGTTACACAAGTTCTCTTTCATGAATGTCATTAGTTATTCCAATATAGTTATTAATTATATTAAAGTGTAGAAAAGAAGAATTATAAAAATCCGTTTATTATAAATACTATACTCATGAACTAAAGGTGAGTGATTTGTGTACTTTACCGGATGATGTAATTTAGCATTCCAGTTTGAAGCCATTTTTTTTCCTCTTTCATTTGGTTAGGAGAGAAAGAATACTATGAGAAGCAGTTTGCCACACTTAAATCCTTTGAAGAAGTGGACTCTTTATTCACACCTGAAATAGATGAAGAACAAGATCGGGCTGAGCAAGAGCATAGTGAATTCGCAATGAAGATCTCAAATTATGCAAACATTATTCTGTTGACACTGAAGGTACATTATGTCTCTCTTAAGTCCTATCTTTTGTTTTCTCTTTTTTTTTCCTTAAGTTATTGAAGTGTAAAAATGAAAGAGAAGAGACAAGTTATGACGATTTAATCTTTTTTATGTGATATGATCATGTAGCCCTTTTCGTGTTATATTTTCCAAGCGATCTTTGCTACTTACAGGTGTATGCTACTATAAGAAGTGGATCTCTAGCAATTGCTGCTTCCACACTTGATTCATTATTGGACCTTCTGGCAGGAGGAATTCTTTGGTTTACACATGTGTCAATGAAAAGTATAAATATCTACAAATACCCCATCGGCAAGTTACGTGTTCAACCAGTAGGCATCATTGTTTTTGCCGCTATCATGGCCACGCTGGGTAAATTATCATCTTGAGCTTAATGTTTTCATTCTTAATTTAAAAGTTTTCTGTTTCATGACCATTCTATAATACTAAAAAAAGATTTCAATTCCTGATATATTCTCCAAAAAATACTTATTGATTCCTGTTATATATGTGTAACAACTCCTTGCTGAGTGAAAATTAATTGAATTGTTAGTCTAATAAATTTTGAAGCCAAAGAAGGATTTCAAGTGCATCCTTTCTTATTTCTAATTATGTTCCTCTATTGTTAGTGAGTTTCACTAATCTTTCGATTTACCTGGCAGTTTCACTAAAATAAACTAGCATTAACTTTTTTCTTTAATCATCTAGGGTTCCAAGTCCTGGTTCAAGCTCTTGAACAATTGATAGAAAACAATCCCACCGATAAAATGTCTTCATCGCAGTTGGTATGGCTATATGCCATAATGTTAACTGCTACTGGAGTAAAACTTGCTCTTTGGCTATACTGCAGAACTTCCGGAAACAAGATTGTTCATGCTTATGCTAAGGTTTCCTCAGTATCTCTCTGAATCCAACTGATTGTTAGATTTTTGCAGAGTTTTTTTGTCTTAAAGTGTCACCGCTTAATTTCAGGACCATTATTTTGATGTTGTTACCAATGCTGTGGGTTTGCTTGCTGCTGTTCTTGGGGATAAATTCTACTGGTGGATTGATCCTGCAGGAGCCATTGCTCTAGCAATTTATACAATTGCTAATTGGTCTGGTACTGTCTGGGAAAATGCAGGTCTGTGTTCTTGGACAAGTCTTCTTATTTAAGTAGCATGGTTTTTGAGGACCCCTCAAGTTCTCGCAATAATTTGCATGAAAGCTATTCAGATGTTAATGGATGTAGTTTTGATTTAGCTAGAAACTTTAACATCTAAAAGTTATTTTGAGTTATTTGTTGTCTTTAACTGATGCACTGTAACTATCTCTCTTGTGTAGTTTCGCTGGTTGGTCAATCGGCGCCCCCTGATGTGTTGCAGAAACTGACATATCTTGTTATAAGGCACGATACTCAAATCAAACATGTTGATACTGTTCGAGCATATACCTTTGGAGTTCTTTACTTTGTAGAGGTTGGTTGCTAATTAGTTGATTTATACTCTCATCTTATAACAAATGAACATGAAATCTGTGTGCTCTATAAATAAAGAGTAATCGCTCTTTAGACGGTTTTAGAAGAGAGAAACATTGTGTCAACCGATTCTTTTGTTTAAACATCTGCACTTTGATGTTGCCATATGGTTAGCTGACCTTTGCCTCGAATCTCAGGGGTCAACTATAACTCAATTTTCTTCATTTGGTCCTGTTGGGAGTCAGTTTCTGTGTTAAATTAGTGAGTTTGTGGAGTCGGCTACATGAGTCAGTTTCACTAGTTTGTCCACTTATTCCACACAGAGTCAGTTTTAAGTCTTAACGAAAGTACAATATTACTGACACTAGATAACGGACAAACTTAAGGCTATTTATATAATGTAGCCCTTCTATAACAAACTTATGTCGGTCATATAATCATATGATTTCAAAATTCATGGCTTCTTTTGCAACAGGTTGACATCGAGCTACCTGAAGATTTGCCTTTGAAAGAAGCTCATGCCATTGGGGAGTCCCTGCAGATCAAGATTGAGGAGCTCCCAGAAGTTGAGCGAGCATTTGTTCATCTAGATTTCGAATGTGAGCACAAGCCAGAGCATTCAATTCTCAGCAAGCTACCAAACAGCCAGCCATAATCTCTCAGCTCACGGATCCTTGTGTTTTAATACCAGAGCAATCTTTTATCCCACAAAAAAAAAACAGTGCAATTGAAGCTTGGATAATTGAACATCTCAATTTTGCGTGAGAAAAAATGATTTTTTTTTCCCTTCTTCTTTCCCTTCTCTATGACTGTCCGTCATAAGTTGCTTAGAAAGCTTTGTACTCTGGTCGATTGTTTCAGTGTTGCTTTACTTGAAAAGTACAGAATTTTACACAGTACCCCAAAAAAGAGATGGCATTAATGTTTTCATCTTTCCTTTAGACCTGGTTTAGCCTCGATTTGGTTATAAAAACTTGAAATGCTTGGGCTCTGCAGCTTTCGAATATGCCAAAGATGTTGCATGTCTCATACCGGCTTGAAGGTATTTTTGCCACGAAGTTTACCACAGCAAGGTTCTGGCTATTTGAACTTTGATCTACCTGTTATTGTTCAATGTGCAACTCTACCCAGTATGCAACACATAGAAAACTCCAAGAATGGTGGTGCAAACCGAAATAAGGTAGTTTTCTCCAAGGTGATGTAGACTTAATCAAGGTCAAAACCAAAGAGAGACGAGATATGAAAGTTAAAATATTTGATTGGAAGAGAAACAACACGTACAAAAATCAGTATGATTTCACGTTGTGCATTTTTCGGTGACATACAGCTTCAAGGTGGTAAGAATCTTGTGTGTTTGATACCATCCCTTTCAACATTCAGAAATATGTTGCGTGCAGTCTTATAGAAGCATTACCATAGCAATGTGAGTGTTGTTTCTTGAATACAAATTTAAATAGCAATCACTAGACCACGTGAAACAAAATTAGCGAAAATGAATAATAATACTTATACATGTGTCAAGAATCAAGAAGTACAAATCTCAACTTATGAAGTAGTTGTGCTGAAGCATTTAAACATTTAACATTTCTCATAGGGGAAAAAACAAGAGTTCCATTAATACTTTGCTCTTAATAATGCAAAGAAACTATTGTATATAATTGTCAGAGACACAATTGTCAACTAAATAAAAAAGAGGGGGCATGCTTCCTATTTCTTCTCTAATTTGAAAGCTCCTTGGGTCCTCAAAAACTCCCAAACCTTTGATTGGAAAAAGACCTACTGTCTTGCACATTAACACTGCAAAGGAACAAATTGGACATCAAAAAAATGAATTGACTACGACAAAAATCATAAAAAACATACTGAGAAGTTATTAACAGGTCAAATAATCATACCGAAAAACTATATGCATAAACCACACACATTGATCAGGGGAAATCCTTATTAATATTCCAAAGAAGAAACAAATTGTCTACCTTCCTCAGATTGTTGTTAACAAGTATTACCAACCAATCAATGCTTCCTAACTACAAATGAATGAAAAGATTGTATCAGAGTAAGAAACATGCGAATGAACCAAATCCAGGTATATTTAATTATTACACAGAATTTTTCTCATGCAAATGTTAAGTATTTGATGTGATACAAATAATGTCATAAAGTGTGTGAAGAACTCAAAAGATCAAATGATCAACATATTTCACAGCCCAAGTATTATATGTATATTGCTGACTGGATCATCACATACCACAGCAACTACAGCTAACACGATGGATGCTATTCCTAGCTATGTTGCACCCTTTTAGGAGTGAAATATCACATCATCCGACATCCTGATACAACAATTCCATTAAGCACGCTGATTCTACTTATGTCAGAACATAGAGAGCCCTTCATGTACAAAGAAAAGAACCTATAGTTACATGAAGTGTATTCTTTTAACCAAAGATTTCTGTTAAATACCAGGTTCAATATGTAATTTTCCCAGTTCTGGTCCATGGCAGAAAAATAAGAGCAGAACACTTAAAATATGCAGTGCAATACTCAGTAGGAACTAGGAAGCAATAGACGATTTCCTGCATCAGTATTCAGCACATGAACGACTTTCCTCTATGCTTCCATCAATAGATAATGGATGAGTAGCGCTTAGATAGCTCTGGACCTTAGTGCAAGATGAAGCTCTGAATTATGTTGCTATAGAGATTCCAAAAATTAATTAGCATGTTGACTGGTCCACATGAGGGCTTTTCTTTGATGATGAGTTTTTCCTTCATGGATCAACAAATATTCTCCAACGGTTAGTGATTGTTGGACGTCTAAACGCATCAGGATTCTTCAGTATATAACCCAATCATTGGCGCAGATATCTGCATTTGGACAATTTAGAGTTTCCTTTTCTTTTCCACGTTCACTTTCCACCATAAACAAACATTCATCTCTCTTCCAAATTGCAACATTGCTTTATACATTTTCCTCTACTGACTATCATTTATAGTTGTAAGACTCAATATATCACCACCCTAATCTGTAAGGAGCCTCTTTCTTTCGCAACAATCACATACAAAGTGTGAGACTGAAAAATGAAAATATATCACATTATGCTTCTGATCTAATCTATACAAGTGAAAAGTGAGCGAGTGTTTTACTAACTAGAAGCGTATACATACCAGTACATAATGAGTGCTAGATCATTAATGAAAAACTAAGCAAACAACATAGTCCCTTGCTTATTTTTTTTTAAAAAAAAAGCAATAATTACCCAACAGAAGGAAAAAAAACACACTCACCAATCATTTGATTCAGTTGATCTTAGGATCGGACATCGGGAACAACCCGGCCCCAGCAGCTCCCCTCGGCGGCGAGAACCCCAAAAACTTCTGCAGATTCGTCCTAATACTAATCGAGCACAAGAAATACAAGAACGCCATCGAGCAATCCGTCGGGTCCCCACCCGGCAGCCCGCGGTGGCTCATCTTCAGCACCAACGACACCGGCGAGAACGGCAGTTTCGCCACCGCCCGGCCTTCGAACATCGAATTCAGCAATCCAAACACCACGAACAAGACAACGGCAACGACGGCGCCGGATTTGAACTTAGAGAGGGAGAGATCGCGGGTGGATTCTTTGAGGCTGGATTCGACCCGATCGATCTTTTTGGATTTGTTGGACCTTTTGGAGAGGGGGAGGGGGTTGTTGGCCTGGGTTAGGGTTTGGGAGGAGGAGGAGGAGGAGGAGGATTTCATGGAGTCGAGTTTTTTGGAGGCCTTGTCGATGGAGGAGCGGAGGGATTTGTAGGTGGAGGTTCGGTAGATGAGGAGCCACGAGATGAGCTCGCAGAGGGCGGCGGTGCAGATGGAGATGACTAGGATTGTGAGGCTGTCGCCGTAGCGGAAGGAGGAGGAAGAGGACATGGCTAGGGTTAGGGTTAGGGTTAGGGTTTGGGTTTGGGTCTTGGGAGAGGAGAGAGATTGGGGATCTGAGGGGGTTTGTTTATTATAGAGAGGAGGAGGGAGAGAGGATTCTTTTGAAAGAGACTGCAGCGAAAGGTGAAAGGTGTAAAAGGAGGACAGTCAATAGAGGGGCCGTCCTCTTGATCATTGAAAGTTACTATCAGGTCCCAAATTTATAAGCAAATGATTTTAAATATTAGCTCCTTAAATCATAGGTATTTTAATATCCGGTTTTCCTATGGAGTGTCCGTGAGATAGAGATAGAAAGAAATGAATAGCTCATAGGCCTCCCTGATTTACATTAATTTCTGTGCATAATTTATTTCTCTCTATCTCTCTCCTATCTTATAGAGTGTCCATGGACACTCTATAGAAAAACCATTTAATATTATTCCCTCCAATCTTTATATTTTGGTATTAGTCTCCCAAATTGCCTTGCCTCCAGCTCTAGCTCCTTCGTCACCATTTCCTCCACCTCCACCACATCGTGTGTCGATATTCTCACCTCCTCCATCACCACCATCACTTCCGCTGGTAATGTCACCTTAATCATCTTCAGGGGGCGAATTTACACTTGCCCTGAGGGTGCACTTGCACCCATGAATTTTTCATAATTTACACATAATCTTTCTACATTTTTCCAATTTGCCCCCAGAGTTGCACGCCAACCTGTATCTAATATAACAATACAAGCACAAGCCCATTAATATAACAAGCCAATTAAGTTTATGCACAAGCAATAAATTGGCCCATAAACTTTTAAAGCTGAAATATACAACGAAACATTTGAACCCACTGCCCAAAACCTAAAACTCAAACTCAAAACTAATCTTTCTCCCTCTCCCTCTCTCTTCTTTTTCTCAGAATCTAGAAACCCAAAAGTTTCTAAATTGCAAGATCCACCCAACTCTCGTCTGCATCGCTACCACCTATCAAACCTTGGGCCTGACCCACCGACGCCCTGAACTCTACCTAGACCCACACCAACCACCAACCATTCCTCCCTTTTTCCTCAACTTCTCACCTAACCAATGTAAAGTGAGTTAAAAAAATTCTTTGAATTGTGGGTTTAAAGAGTTAATATAGTTTTGTTTAATTGTTTAAAGAGTTAATATAGTTTTGTTTAATTGTTTAAAGAGTTAATATAGTTTTGTTTAAAAATTTCTTTGAGTTGTGTGTTTAAAGAGTTAATATAGTTTTGTTTAATTACTAGTTCATACATCACATGCTTTCACCTATGATTGAGGGATACAATTCAAAATTTTAATATGCCAAGAATATGTAATAAAATAGTTTAGTTTGTCAAATATTTTCTTCAATTTTACTAAAATTTGAAATAAATTAAAATGTAAAAGGAATTTGTGGTTAACAGATTGTTATTTATTTTGAGAAGTCGAGTCATATAAACATTGTAGAAAGTCAAATTGTGAGAATTGGTAATTAAATATAACTAAAAACATAATTAATCATTAATTGAAATAATATGATTTTTATTATCTTGCATAATTTTTTAGCTATGGAGATATATCTTAAGAGAAAGTCTCCAATGGAGCAATCATTAACTGCTCCAAATGCAAATGGTCTTTAAACTAGCAATAAGCAAAACAATGGAGTGAACTTAAAAGATCTTCCGATAGATCCAATGCTTCGACCGGATACTTTCAATTATCATCCCAATGATTGAGATGATTGTTTTCACCGAAAGTTGTTTTCATCGTAGATTCCATTAAAACTTAAATTGTTTACAGAGAATTACAATGAAAAATTGAGAAAATTACAACTCTCTTGGAAAATAACACAAAAAATCGTTTATCGATTCTTGTTTTGTGGGACTTTGCCTGTGCCGGGAGTGCTTTAACTCGTGGACCGCCGAATCACAGATCGTGAAGAGGGCTTAATGATTCTTCCTTCGTTTATCGAAGTGAGAATTTGAAACGAAGATCTTATCAAAGTAAGATAGTCGTTCTTCTTAAGATCAAGTCAAAGCTCGAATCTTAAGGAATCACACCAATAAATCAAGTCTGCTCTCTCTCTGCTCTGGATTGCTCTCTAAAGTGCTCCATCCTTTGGATGCTCTATGATCAGCCCCCTTAGATGCTCTCTAATCAGCCCCCTTTTGATGCTCTCTAATCAGCCCCCTTTTGTAACCATTGTCCCACTACCTAAATACCATCCTTTTATGATGTTAGTGGGTCTCCCTTCAGTTTGTAACCATCTCCCCACGTTTATGGTTGATCTCAAGTAGTTATGAAGCCAAAAAACCGTCAAAAAATGTGTTGTAACCAACTCTATGGCCGAGACAGTGAAGTCTGTCTCGCACTTCCGAGATAGTTTGTACTATCTCGGGTATTTTAGTTCTAACTCCCTCGTCTGATATCGGAATGAGATGATCCAAGATGCGTTGGAAAGATGACGAAGAGATCTACAACTTTTGTCTTTTGACCTTCTTCAGATTTGGTGCGAGACAGTCATGACTGTCTCGCATTCCGAGACAGTGAAGTCTGTCTCGTACTTCTGAGACAGTTTGTGTTGTCTCGGGTATTTTAGCTCTAACTCCCTCGTTCGATCTCGAAATGAGATAATCCAAGATGCGTTGGAAATATGACGAAGAGATCTACAACTTTTGTTTTTTGATCTTCTTCAGATTTGGTGCGAGACAGTCATGACTGTCTCGCATTCCGAGACAGTGAAGTCTGTCTCGCACTTCTGAGACAGTTTGTGTTGTCTCAGGTATTTTAGCTCTAACTCCCTCGTCCGATCTCGGAATGAGATGATCCAAGATGAGTTGGAAAGCTGACGAAGAGATATACAACTTTTGTCTTTTGACCTTCTTCAGATTTGGTGCGAGACAGTCATGACTGTCCCGCATTCCGAGACAGTGAAGTCTGTCTCGCACTTCTGAGACAGTTTGTGTTGTCTCGGGTATTTTAGCTCTAACTCCCTCGTCCGATCTCGGAATGAGATGATCCAAGATGCGTTGGAAAGCTGACGAAGAGATATACAACTTTACATAGGCAAAACACCCATAAAGTAGATGAGACACACATGGTACTTCACCCATTTGTGGATAAAGCACAACTCTTGGTTGAGTTGTTCCTTTATCGTTTAGCATGTTTCACAGACTCGTACGCTTCGCCGACTTATTTCGTGTGCTTTGTAGCTTCTCTACAATATCAGATGATCTCCTTTGACTCAGATAATCCTCCTTGACTCGGATAGTGACATTCATCGTCTTTTTTTTATCTCGAGCTATATGCGAGAACCTATAGGCAATTTTTTTATGCCTACAATGATATTCAAAGAGCCTATTTGCAAAAAGGCCTTTGTCAACCACGGAGACAGATTTGCACAAACAAAACTTGAAAATAATTTATGTCATTTCAATCCAAATAACTTTAATGAATTTAAAAATTGTCTTGGTATAGCATATCTAAAGATGCGCCTTTTACTTGTGTTGCTATCTTATGAAGCCTAAGCAAAGTGGTGATTATTTTACCACCAACATGTATACAAATTGAAAAAAGAAAGAGAGTCTAATAAAGCATGTTGATGGTCCATATGGTGTGTATAATTAAGCTTGGACTAAATGTCAAGCTTTAATGAAGGAAAAGCAACACATTGATGTTGCCATATCCAATGGATTAGATCAAACTAAAGAAGATTGTTGTGTTCACTTGATGACAACAATCAATTGTATTCAATTTTATTATGTTTAGCTTTGGCCTTTCGAGATCATGATGAATCTGAACAATCAAGTGATCAATGAAACTTTCTTTACCTCATACATTTCACAGCTAATCAAAATATTATTTTTAGCAAATGTTTTGACAAGTGCTCGTAAAAATATCAAACTAACGGCATCTAGCATGTAAATGGAATTGTCAGTATTGATGTTAATGAAGCTACTCAAGTTATTATCGATAATATTGGTGATGATTTTTTTACTATTTTAATTGATGAGTCTAATGATGTATCTATTAAAGAGCAAATGATTGTTCTTTTGTATTATGTGGACATGATATTCATTGAACACTTTCTTGCACTTATTTACGTTTCCTCCAAAACTGCCTTAGCCTTTAATGAGCCAATTGAGTGTTTGTTTTCTAAAGATGGACTAAGTTTATCAAGAGTTCGTGAACAAGTTTACGATCTTGTTAGTAACATGAAAGGATAATTTAATGGCTTTAAAACATTGATCATGAAGGAAAATGAGTGTGCTTTCTATATCCTTTATTTCGCACACCAAACTTCAACTAACTCTTATGAGTGTTGGAAAGCAACCGCCGATAATTGCTCTACTTTTTATGATGCTTTTGGAGGTTCATGCAAACGTTAAAATATTCTTCGAGAACAATAAGTTAGCAAGATCATCGAAGGCTTAGAAAATAGTGAATTTCAAGTGGTAAAGGTTTAAATCAAGAAACATCTCTTCGTCGAGTTGGAGATATTCACTGGCTTCTCATTATGGAATGTTGGCCAAATTGATTTTTATGTTCTCATCTATTATGGCTCAAACTCGGAGCAAAAAGATGGAGCAAGTGCCCTGCTATACTTCATGCAATCTTTTTGAGATTGTATTTGACATGCATTTAATGAAAAAGATATTGAGAATTACACAAGAAATGTCTCAAGCCTTGCAATGAAAGGATGAAGATGTCAACAATATCATGGCTTTAGTTAAAGTGGCCAAGCAACAATGATAAAATGATGAGAGATGATGAGTAGGAATCTTTGGTAGTGAAGTTCCATCATTTTGTGAAAAAAATGTGATATTATATTCCAAATATGAATAATGTGTTTGTACTTTACAGACGGTCAAATCGTAATGTTGAGAAAGTGACAAATTTATACCATTTTCGTATTGAGATTTTCTATCAAGTGATTGACAAGCAATTTCACAAGCTCAACAGTCGCTTTACGGAGGATAACATCGATTTGCTTATTTGTATTGCTTGCTTAAATCCAAAGGACTCATTTTCATCTTTTGATAAGTGAAAATTCATTCGCTTAGCTCAGTTTTATTCATTAGAGTTTCATTCAATAGATCTCATGACTCTTGATAATCAACTTAAGAAGTACATCCTTGACGTATATTCAAATAGTTAATTCTCAAAGCTAAAAGGTATTGATGATCTTTCCAAAAGTTGGTTTAGACAAAAAAATGTTGCATATTCTTTGGTGTATTTGCTTATGAAGTTAGCTTTGATCTTACTGGCAAGCACAATTATAGAGCGAGCTTTTTCTATAATGAAGTTTATAAAGAATTATTTGTGTAACAAAATGGAAGATGAATGGATGAATGATTGTTTGGTTACGTACATAAAAAATGTGTTTGATAAGGTTGCCACTGAAAAAATCATGCATTAATTAGTTTCAAAATATGAAAAATCATCGAGAGCAATTATAAAAGTGTGAAATATCTTTTTTGATTTTGTTCTAAAAGTAATTGTCTAAACACTTTCTGTGTCTTTTGATATATACATATATGTATATTTTGTGGGCAATCTTCTATAAATTATTTTCGAATCTAATTGTAATGTTAGATTTTGTAGAGAATTTTTACTAGCAAGCATACATATTTTGATTTTATTAAAAGTAAAATATTAGTAACAATATTTATTTTTATTTTTCTATCTCATCACACGAAATAATGTGATGCGATGGAACTGATAAAACTATTTTTGTCACCGAGAACATATCCACCAACTACTATTACTTTATAATATTATTATTTTATGATATTATATTTCTCTCTTCCCCACCACCCCCTCGTGAATTTTGAAGCCATGAAGCCATAGGACGAGTTTAATAGAGAAGAGAGAGGGTGGAGAAGTTGCAGTGGGGGCTTGGAGAAACATGAGAAAAGAAAAGGTCAGGAAGAGGGGGAGGAGAGGGTTATAATTGTTTATTAAAGGGGAAAAAAATCAAAGAAAACAAAATATTTCTCATCCATTTTAACACCAGCTAGCTACAAGAATTAATGTCACATACTAAGTGTTGATATACTAGTGATCACACAGTCAGTTATATTCGTAGTTGGATTGCGTTGTTGAGTATTGATGAGGGGTTGTTTTCTTCCCCGACTTTATGTTCGGTTCTTTGAGTGGGGTTGATAAATCTGCACTAATAGAAATTTGTGAGAGGACGAGGTTTGGTTCTCCCGTGGTTCCTCTAACGATCAAGTTAGCTGATGAACTTAAGTGGGGAAATGTAAAGAACTGTGTGAGTTCTTGTGTGTACAGTATGTCTACTTAAGGTTCAGATTGAAAAAGATCAAGATCCAAGATCAAAGAAGTTCATCCCTGTTATGTTCGAATAGTACCTGTATTTATACCTAGGGTATAATGGTAGATCAGTCACTTTGGCCGACTGCAGGATAGTGGCGGCGAAGTGTGGGCTAACGACTGGATGAGCGATCAGCTCAAACATTAAATAGGAAGTGATTGGTGGCATGACGGTGCCTGCGTGGTCCAATGAGTCATGAAAGCTATTAGGGCTAGATGCATGATGTGCTTGTCATGCGTTAAATGCGATACAGACACGTTGCCAGTGGGAGAAGCTCGAGGCAGAAGTTATCGTTTAACTTCGCCGAAAAGTAACGTCTTCCGAGTCGTCCTCGCGAGACGTCTAGTAAATGGTCGAGTGGGCTCGTGACGAGTCGTTTTCGACAAAGGGGGCGACAAGTATCGCCTTTTCGAGCCGACATGAGGGAACGTCGACTCGACAAGTCGATTGAGTTGTTGTCTCTGCTGGTCTCTGGCCACCAACTTGATTGGTATAGCATGCAGTGCACCTATCCGTTACTTCGTAATGAGTTGCACTTTGGCGAATGAGAACACCATAACACTAAGTTAATTTGAGAAACTAATATTGAAATAACTCTAATTTAAGGAGCTAATATCTAAAAAACCCAAATAATTTTTTTTCCTGTAGACTCTTTGAGATCAATAAGATAATGTTCAACGGGAATGATAGGAAGCATTACCCTAAAGATAATTATTGAAAGGCTAAATAGCATGTAAATACCTTGTATTTCACTCACTTTGCACTTATACATCTTTATCTATTTTCCACAATGTTTACATATTCTAATAAATCGTTTAAATTGGCAAGTTAATATCCTTTATTATGCAAGTATGAAATATTTTTACTCGAACATTCTCATATTACCACATGTTTATTTTAGAGCTTTCTAACTATTAATAGTTTTTTTACTTTACCGTTAAACTCATCACAATTTAATTCAAATAGAATTAGGATAAGTTAAAATAATACAAATTTAATAAGCTTAACAGTAAATTTAATAAATATTAATAATTAAAATTTTCTAAAATTAACATATGAACATCACGAACATTCACATAAATTTTGTCACCATTGCATAGTAACGAGTACTAACATGCTAAATTTAAACAATTTAAGGTACGTAAAATCGCCACGAAAAAGAATGAAAAGTAAATAA